TGGAGACAAACCCTGGGGCTTTCATGGTGCTACTGCTCTCACCTCTGAAGCTGCAGGGACTCCCAACAGTCAGAAAATCTGAGGCAAACTGAGAGAACAGGAGGCAAGGGCTCTGCTTTACAGATTAGGAAACTGAAGACCAAGATCTCCTGCCAATTAAGGTGGCAGAACCCAAGTAGTGTGCACATTCCCTGGTTTAAAATTTTTCTTTCTGGTTTTCTGCAGTTTGAATAATGATATGCCTAGTGTGGTTCCTGCTTGGTGTGCTCTGAGCTTCCTGGGTTTGTGCTCTGGTGTCCATTGTTAAGTTTGGAAAGTTCTTCTTGGCGATTGTTGCTCATTTTATATCACCTTTTATAACTGCCTTGCAATTATTGGAGTTTATCTCCTTCCTTCCTTTTTCTTTCTCTCCTTTTCTCCTCTCTCTGTCTCTGTCTCTCCCTCTCTTGTTTTTTTTTCCCCCCATTGCTCTCCTCTTTGCCTTTCATTTTGAGAAGTTTGTGGTGACCTATCTTCAAACCCTTATTTCTAGTTGTTGTTGTTGTTGTTACAGGGTCTTGCTATGTTGCCCAGGCTGGCCTCAAACTCTCAATCTCTGCCTCCCTGGGTAGCCAGGATTATCTCTAGTTATTCACAACAGCTAAGATATGGAATCAGCAAATGAATAAAAAAAATGTGATACACAATGGAATATTATTCTGCTGTGTAAGAATGAAATCCTTTCATCTGCAGCAACATGGATGAAACTAAAGGACATTATGTTAAGAGAAATCAGGCAGGGAAAAACAAACACTGCATGTTCTCACTTATACTATACATGGACACTCCAGACGATCTCAAAGAAGCAGACAACTGAATGTAGTTCCTAGAGCCCGGGAAGGCTGTGGAAGAGGGAGAGGTGGAGAAGGATGGCACAGGGGTGCAGCTGGACAGGAGGGATAACTGCTAAGGTTTTATCACACAGGAGGATAGCCACAGTTGACAAAATTATTTCAAAATCACTAGTAAAGAGGATTTTGAATGCTCGCAATACAAATAAATATCTGAGGTGACAGATATACAATTACCCTGATCTGATGACTATATACTGTGTATGCATGTTACCTGTGCCCTATAAATATGTAAAATTACGTGCCAGCTAGAAAAAAAATATTAAAAATAAACAAAATAGAAAAAACGAAGTGGACTAATATACTTAAGTGTGGAAAGGAAAAACTACTATAACAAACATCACAGAGGGATGAAACCACCCAAGCAAGCCAGTGAAAGCAAAGAGGTACAGCAAGAGCCCTGAACAAAGAAAAAGCAAAAGCTTCACAGGGCTTTGGAAGAGAGGTCTGACACATCTCTTACATGTAGGGGCAGAGCAAGTATTTGTGGTCGGGGTCCATGCAGCAAGTGAAGCAGATACCTGGATATATTTCAGGTGACTGGGCACTGAAAAGACGCTGCACTCTGTAGCTGTTGGCTTGACGTGGGGAACATCCCATCCTCTGTTGTGTGCTCTATCTGCTCTGAGATAGCGCAACTTTTGTCAGGAGGAGACAGCACCTGCATAGGCTGCCTGTTTTGTTGTGGTGTTTTCTATCTTGTCAAATTATAGCTTGGAATTAAAAAGCACATTTACTAGCCATTTCATGACCATGTCAAGCCTGACAACTACCACTTTAGAATTCAATAGCAATGAAATTATTCTCTAAAAACAAAGACAAAATGAAAATTTCCTCAAATATGTGCCGTAAGAAATATGTAAAAAAGTTCTTTGGGCAAAAGAACATGGCAGAGTCACAGCATGAAAGGAAAAACTGACAACAGACAAATGAAGGCAAAATAATGTCTTTACTTTTTCTTAACCTTAATTCATCTTGAAAGTAACCAGGTAAGGTGGTGGTGATGAGGTCTGCTGGGAATGTGTGGTGCTGGGTGGCGTGGTGTCACTCGGAGGAGCACTCAGGCAAGTTAAGGTGTGTTTAACAAACTCCAGGCTAAAAAAACAAAACACTTCCGAGGCATGGCTAGTTTTCCACCACAAAACACCAGCAGGTGGGCGTGGGGAAGTAGTCTGAATGGTCACAAGGGCACACCCCACCTGTGCGGGGTAGAGGAGCAGTAAACAGGGGCCCTTCCAACAGAACACATCCACATGTACGCAAGCACAGGCACACTCAGCTGCTCTGCTCCTTAGGAGGAAAGGTGCTCCACCATGACACATCTCACTGTTCAGACGAAGGTCAAGGTGAAAAAGCAAACAGGTGGCAGCTTCCACAAAACACGTCCCTCATTTGGGTCTAAGCGTGCTGATGTTTGAGAACAGAAAGACAGGGTGCTAGTAGAGTGTGCTCCCCTGCACCTCAATTCCAGCAGCTGAGTAAACACTCAAATGAGGCGGTGCCTGGACTTGAAGCCAAAAGCAGGAGCCTTGGGCCTGGCACAAGGCAAGAGCAGAAACGGCCAGGTCGCATCCTCTTAGGGAACCCTGAATCCCCCAGCAAGGCGAGGAGCTGCAAGACTGTGGCAGAGGATGAAACCACACATTAATTTTAGCAGCTTGATGTCCACTTGGTAAAGTAAGAAGGAACGTTTACAACATGATAGGGAATGACAATTCCTGGGAATGTCCTCTGAATTATGAAGGCTTCTGACTCATTTTCAAAGAAAAACAGGCCATAGATCATGCAGTTTCTCGTTCTGTGTTCTTCTGCTTTTTCCTGCCTCTCGAGCCTTGCAAACTCAAAGCTGCTGCCTCTAGCCTGCTAGGTTCCCTGGGGCTCTGTCTTTCAAGAAAAGCAAAAGAAAAAAGCTGCTCCCTGTGCGGAGGGTGGAGTGGCTGTTTCTGCAGAGAATAGAAAGTGCCAAGGTCACCAACCGGCTGTCACCACCTCACTCAGCTCTCATGGCTCTGTGAACATCTGTGGGTGACTGTGGTCAGATGGATGACAAACTTCATCAGAAGGGGCAACAAAAAATGCAAACGTGTAGTTGGAGTACCAGGTGTCCTCTATCCCAACCCCTTCAGGGTCTTCGAGTCCTCGGAATGTGGCTGAATTCTGGGAGGCAGGAGCACAGGGGTTTCTCCGAGGTGCCAGGCTGATGGTGGGTGTTTCAGAGGTAACTGGAGGAAGCTCACAAGGCTCCCTCCATGCCCGGACATCTGTCCACACCCTGGCTCTGTGGCCACAGCCTCTGGCACAAGCAACTGCTGGAGAAGGTGCTGCCCAGACTGTGGGGTCAGTCAGCCCTTTCCTCTCAGGCAGCTCTGGGTCCTGGCATCACATCTGTCACAGCAGCACTGCTGAGGGACAGGAGCCCAGGTGGAATAAAGGGAAGAAACCTCAAGGAAGCAGAAATCACATAACCTGGACATAGTCAGGTAGAAGAGGATCAGCCTCGATGAGCCTCTGAGTTGCTGCTCCACTCCCTTAATGAGCAGAAGGTGACAACGAGATCTCTTCCACGAGCTTGGTCCTAGGGTGCATCCCGCTCTGTGCTAAGGATTTCCCACAGGTGATCAGTCAGTCGTACCAGCAGTAATTGTGATGACAAAACGGACCACTGACAGGCACAAGTCACCATGAGGTTTTAGAAGGGATGGGAATAAACATCACTTAATGTTACCATGTGCATGTGAATATTTAACATTATTTAGATACCAAACACTACCTCTTGATGACTCTCCCAAACCCACACCAGTGTTTTCAGCCCAAGAATAAAAATCAATGGCTTCAGGGCTGAGTGTCAAGGCTGAGAAAAAGCTGGGATTGCAGCTGTGACCAGTGAGGCCCAGCATGATTTGATTTTCCTCTGATCCGTGCAAAACTCTCGTGAGAGTGTGACAAGATCATTTAGCATAGAGCTGTAACTCCAAGGCACATTGTGAAGAACACAGTGATGGGGGACTGAGGCAGGAGGGTCCACCAGCTAGTCCCAAAACTATCAGTGCTGACTCCATTCTGAGTCTATCTATCGGGAGAAGTACGCTGTGCCCAGTCTTCACTCACTTTTCTCAGTATCTGCCACACATATCCCAAAGACCATGCCACAGAGAGACTTCTAGGCCCGCTCCCTCTCAGAAGGCAAGAAAAGGTGGAAAGCACCTCGCAAGGGCCCTCTCTCTAGGTCTGACACTTCCAGGATGAGCCTGTCTGCTGAACTGGTTTGAACCAGTGTCTATGAGCTGAAGGCTCCAAAATGTGTGCCCATGACCTTACTCCTCAGCTTTAAACTCAGACTCCAGAAACTACTGACTATTGCCTTGGCTACCAGTGGACACCTCAAACATAACACAGCCCAAACAGCCACCATCGGCAACCCCCACTTTCCATGTGTCCTTTCTATCCCCAACCATGCTAGATGCCTCCCCAACACCTAAGTAGTCACCAAGCTGAAACAATGCCATTTCTTATACATCTTTCATTATGACTTTGCCCCATTCCCACTGTAACTTCCCCTCTGGACTCCTGCAGTGGCCAAGCCGTCCCCTCAGCCCCTGTGGTAGCTGGATCAGACTGTGGAAGCAGGGAGCAGGGCTTACTGCTACAGTGAACCTCAAGATGGCCTAGTCATGAAAAGGAGGAAGAATAAGGCATCATTTCAGGAATACAGTGCTGAGAGGAAGGCAATGACAGTAGAGCACGAAGAAGGAAATAGGGCGTGGAGGCTATAAAGGAACTGGCCCACAGAGAGCTGCAGAAAGAATTGGATGGGGCAGCATGACGACAGCACCCACAACCAAAGGACTGGACCAGGTGTCTCAGGTGCTCCACACGTCGCCCCACAGCAGCTGTGGCCAACGCAACAATGGAGCAAGGGGTACAAGCAGCTACCCACTAGGTGGACACTGCAGCCTGTGTGTGCCCCTCTCCCTGCAATCTCAAGGCTTACAACTGTCCCACGTGCCTGTGTCCTCTCCATCCCAATGGATACCGTGGCCCATCAAATGACTTCTACCTCTATGGACAGCCATCCTATCCTCCATTCATTCCTTCTCCCCCGACTCCCACCTGTGGCCTCAGCTCTTGTGGCTATGGCTCCCGCTCAGAAGACACGTCACCCTCTGCCCCACTGCTGGCACTACGGTCTTCCTTCCGAGGAGCGGTGCGTTCTTTGCTGGATTCCGAGGGTCCCTTAGCTCTGGTCTTTTCTTTCCTCTGCTGTTGCTTCTCCAACTTCGATAGCTGATTTAAAAACAGAAAAAGAAAAGCATTTAGGAGCATGAACACACACCTAGATATCCAGCATTGTTACCACAAGGAGGAAACCAGTGACAAGGCCTCTGCTGGGTACCTGGCACACCACGCGGTTCAGCAATACCAAGGATACACAGGACACTGACCAGATGGGCTTCTGAGCCACTAACACAGACAGCCACACTTCTACTCCAACTGGATCAGGTTCAACAGAAGTGGATGGAACAACACTGCTAGAGACAGTACTTCTAGACTAGATGTCTAAGTGATATGCCAGGTTGGTTCTGCTGCCTTCACTGAAGCATGCAGACTGGGTGGGATATGTGGCGCCACTTCTTTTCAGTAGAAGTGAATGAAACAATACTGTCTGATGCCTGGTCCCCCAGCCTGGTCCACTCGGAGGACCTCCCCATCCTGATCTACTCAGCAGAGGGGATATGGGGATCTGTAGGAGTAGAAGAGCTCTACTCGTGGCACAGCTTTTAGCTCATTACTGTTTCCTTGGATGGCTCTACAGCTTTTTCTCATCAAGCTGTCTTCCTACTTACTGTTTTTCAAAGAATGTTCAAAATACGTCACTATTTGCTGAAGATAATAGAGAAGGACATGAATGAGGTACACTAAGCATACTGAATATGGTCTCGGTTACCAATTCGTTCTTCGAGGTTGAGGCCTGGATCACCCAGGCACATATTCCCAGCAGGTGCACGGCATCTACACACAGGTCACCGGCCACAGGAACCTGCTCAGACTTCCTGCCAGCTGGGTAACATACCTGTGATATCTAACCCCTCGGGAGCCAGGGCCCACTTCTTCCTTGGCAATGCCCCCAGCAGGTTCAAAGCCACCACAGACTCAATGAAGGACATAAACACGGGTCGTCAACCACACTCTGAGCAGCACTGTGGCTGCTCCAGAGTGGCCTGCTAAAGAGCCCACCCCAAAGACGGGCCATGTCTTGGTCCATGGGGTTTCTTTGGACCAAAGCAGGCATCTTTCATCTGCTTTCCAGATGAAGTTATAAATGTTTTCTCAATCATGTGAAAGGAAATTTAGGGCTGGGAATGTAGTTCAGTGGCACTGCACTTGCCTAGCAAGCAAGAGGCCCTGAGCTTGATTCCCAGTACAAAAAGAAAAAAGAAAAAGAAAGGAAAGGAGGGAGGGAGGGAGGGAGGAAAAAGGAAAGAAAAGAATGAAATTTAATAAAGGGCCAACCTCTCCCTACTGGCCCCTACTCCACATCCAGAGCTATAAAAGAGTCACTTCACACAACCTGCCAGATCTTGCTTCTGTGACAGACTGAGCTAAACCTCAGCCTGATGGCCTGATAAACAATCAGCAGCAGAAAGTATCCCCTAACGAGACAGGAGCTGAGCAGTGCAGCTGATATCCAGAACAGCTCTGGCTCACCACGGCCGAGTAACAAATAGTTCTTGCAGCAGCTCTTTAAGTAGGAATGATTTAGGATAAAGATAGCCAAAAAGTTAGCATTTTTAGTACCTGGGAAGTGACTGCACAGAGCTCCTTGCTGGCCTTCTCTAGAGAATTATTTCCCATGGATGAAGATCTTTCAGTTCTACTCCATTGCAGGATAGGAAGGCCTTCCCATTTCTCTCAGTGCTTTTTTTTTTTTTGGTTTTTTGTTTTTGTTTTGTGAGACAGGGTTCCACTATGTAGTTCAGGCTGGCCTTGAACTCACTGCATATGCCAGACTGGCCTCAAACTCACAATCCTCCTGCCTCTGCCTCCTCACTGCTGGGATTACAGGCATGTGCCACTATGCCAAAGTCTCTCTGTTGGTGTCAAATTCTTCCCCTCAGGAAATGGTGAGGATGGGTGGAAGTCCCTCTGTCCTGTTTTGTTTTGTTTTTTTCCTCATGAAATAACCTCAGACTATACAATGTGAAAATACATAACACTACAGGGCCTATACACTTTTTAAAAATGGCTTAGATGGTGAATTTTATGTGTATTTTACTAAAATGTTTAGAAAAAATTTTAAATGATTTTGGAAAACATGAAGTTGGCAATCCATTCTGGACCCCATGCTCTTTTTATTTTAAATCTTAAAACTTCAGGAGTTAGCATTCTACAACAAACTGTGATAAGCAGTTTACGACAGCATCGGTGTTTTTACCTATGAATATTACACGTGTGTAAATGCAATCACACATGTATAATCATGAACGATTTCTAAGTCAGATGCTGAGAAAGCACAATTTTTGTTTTAAAAAGATGCCCTCTTCCTTAGAGGTACCATACAGGAAATGTGACTATCACAGGTGAAAAGAGCAGAAGAAACCTCCCTGTGGTTCACCCTCCTCTGGGCTCCAGATACTGGAAAACATGGGCTTTGCAGAGGCTTCTCGGCTCCATGCGACACCAGTGTGACACAGGTTGCCACTGACACAGTCACCACTGTGCACAAACATGGTTTTGAACTCCCACCTTATCCCTGTCCCCTCTCTTCCCTAAACCCAGATTTCAAATCACATTATAACTCTTTAAGAATCAGGTGCACCCGCTTTCTATCAACTCTGCAAAGCCGATTCTCCTGCAGTATTTATCTTAAAATAACCTCAGCCCCAGGGCTCCAGGCCACCAAATAAAGCTCTCAGTGAAAACAATGAGAACCAAACGAGGAACTGAGGCCTTTCTCAGAAAACTAGGAATCCAATGCAGCCAGAAGGTAGAATTTATATCTTGAGGCAAGGAAGCAGCTGGATTTTATTTTTCTTTGAGAAAACAAATGAAAAAGGAAGAAAGAAAAGGGGAAAAAACTGGCACTGTATCTGGATTCACGTAGAAAGTACACAACTTTCAAAGTAATAGGAAATGTACATTAAAGAGAACAGAGAATAGTATGCTCCACAGTCTGTGAACGCATGATCTGTGAACACTGTAACGAGGGACTTTCAGGGTTTGCTGGCTTTTCAGTCTACTGATGAGAGTCCACATTGCACAGGAGTTACTGTCTGTGCCAACTCTAGTGCCTTAGGGAGAAATCCAACCACAGGCCATGGGCCAACCTCCAGTCCACCTGCCCCTCTCCTGTTGGAGCCTGGGAAAGCAGTGGGCAATCAAAGGACTGGCAGCCCCACAGCCAACCTCCATTTCATGATTAAACTCACTGAGAAAACAAGGGACTCTTTTTAATGGGGTCTAACTGCATAATAAAAGAATCAGTTAGTTAAATGAGGGTGTTACTATGCTCTGCCACAGGGGCTGCAGACCTCAAATGCCTCTCAGGACCAGGTAGGTAAGAAAATGAGCCCCGTAGGGATGCATCAGGCAATAGGACATGGCGGAGACTGAGACTACACTGGAGAGGTTGCACCCACCTGAGGGCTTTCAGACCTGCATCTGGGTAGATATGATGTTAATGGGCAGATGAGTCACCAGCTAGGTAACACTTCACATTTCCACTATGTGATTCTGTTGGCTATTAAGATCCCACTAAGAGCTATACCATCAACACCCCACAAGTAAGCCACTGTCAGCTTCCTGTACTATAGCCCACTCATCTCCCAACCCCTTCTTCCCTCCCTGCTGGCACAAGCAGCCTCCTGTTTCAACCTGGTGATGCACGGTCCTCCTGTCAGAACCAGCAGGACTTGAGGGGGCTGCAGGTGGCTTTGGAGAAAAGTCACTGCGGAGGTACAAGGAGACACTGTCCCCTTCCTGTCCTGGGTGAGGACAAGGACCTACAGCGGCCAGGACTGGGAAATCAGCTTCCTGCTGGGGAAGGCAATTGTGGGCCCTAGTGTTTAAGAAGGTGGCACTTGCAGCTGAAAGCCCACTGAACTGACAGAGAACACGTCATGGCAAGGCAGGAGGCTTGCTTGGGGATCTGCAGTATGTGAGTGGCTGGGATCACCAGGGCCCCTGGACCCTGAGCCCATATTCTTTCCAGGGAGCATCTTCCTTCCTTCACCCATTAACTGCATTTAACAGGAATTCAATGAGCACCAGCTACGTGGCAGCTGTACCAAGGACAAAGTACAGAACCAGGCAGGGCCTCTGTCTTCTGGTGCTGACCATCCACCAGAAAGATAACTGGGAACCCATTCACCATGAGGCAGGCCTGCTCTCAGCACCAGAAGACCTGTAGTGTCCTACAGGCACTGTCACAATCCCCATCTTAATAGCAAAGAATCTGGGGAACATTCCCCATTCTCTTGGGATGCATCCCTCACTTCCAGGTACTAGGTGGCAGACAGCACAAGGTAATGCGCTGCATGTGAGCACAAAATGGCATGCAGAGATGGTAGAAGATAAGACAGTCAGGGGCCACACAGGGAGAGGCCAAGCAACCACAGTCCCAGGCAGGCAGGGCAGCCGTTAAGCAGGACAGCGAAGGTGTGTAAGTTATGCTAGGGCTTCAAAGACAGGTACTGAAGCACCTGTGAGGTGGCACTGCTGCTGGGCCCATCACAAGGACCTTGGGCCAAGCTTCAGGGCCACACAGCAGGTGGGGTGTGGGTGCTGAGTTCCCACTTCCTCAGACAACCACCCGTGCATGGCTGTATACTGCGGCAACTACACAGCACAGGATAGATGGATGAACAGGCTGGTGCTATCTGGAAGAGCGGCCAGCCATTGGCTGGGGGTGGGCTGGGGGCTCTGGGGACCCACACAGCATGGGATATGCACACCACCACTGACAGATGAAAGATCTGCCTTTACAGCTCAAAGATCTCTCTCTTAAGGGGGCAGCAATTCGCCAGAAAGAGAAACAGAGACTCCAGAGCAGGACTTTGATGCCCAGGGCTATGCCTGGTTTTTGACAAATGCTGTGCCCAGGGACAAGGAGGAGGAAGGAACCAAGAGATGTGTGAAGCAGCCTATAAGCAGGGAATCACTGTCATCTGCCCTGTTCTGAATATACATGGCATCACTCCCCAGCATCTTTAAAGACTGACCCCTTCACACTGGAGGATGATCCAGAGTGACAATGACAGAATACATGAAATGAATAACTCCAGGCT